GGGACCTTGGAGGTCATCTAGTCCAACCCCCTGCTCAGGCAGGAAACCCTACACCATTTCGGACAAATGGCTGTCCAGTCTCTTCTTAAAAACTTCCAGTGTTGGAGCATTCACCGCTTCTGGAGGCAGGTTGTTCCACTGGTTAATTGTTCTAACTGTCAGGAAGTTTCTCCTTAGTTCTAGGTTGCTTCTCTCCTTGGTTAGTTTCCACCCGTTGCTTCTTGTCCTGCCTTCAGGCACCTTGGAAAATAGCTTGACTCCCTCTTCTTTATGGCAGCCCCTGAGATATTGGAACACTGCTATCATGTCCCCCCTCATCCTTCTCTTCATTAAACTAGACATACCCAATTCCAGCAACCGTTCCTTATATGTTTTAGCCTCCAGTCCCCTAATCATCTTTGTTGCTCTTCTCTGTACTCTAATTTCTAGAGTCTCAGCATCTTTTTTACATCGTGGTGACCAAAACTGGATGCAGTATTCCAAGTGTGGCCTTACTAAGGCATTGTAAAGTGGTATTAACACTTCACGTGATCTTGATTCTTTCCCTCTGTTCATGCAGCCTAGCACTGTGTTTCGTTTCTTACCCAAGAAGCTTCTTCAGCTCCGCCATTCCCCACCGTCCAGTCAGAAGTGAAGAAGCTTCTTGAATGAGAAACAAAACGTCTTCAAAGAAGACAAGAAAGTCAAGTTGCTTTATGAAAAAAGCACCTTTGGGACATCTGAAAGGCAACTAATGAAACAATCTGGAAACATGATACCATGCAGAACACAATTTTAACCAAGGCACCTCTCCATATTTAATAAACAGTGGCTGATTTCTAAAAATATTGAAAAGATTTCAGAAAAAAATGAATTAATAAGTTATTTATTTCCTCACTTGCCATAGAGTAGCTCAATTTAGCATAGATGTAAATCAATCTATAGATTATGATTTTTTTATTTGTCTTCCAGTAACGTGAACTAATTTGTAAGTGTCTAGGGAGATTCTCAGCCATCCAGGTCATGGTTGTCCCAAAGGTGCTTTTTCAAAGACATTTCACTTCTCATCCAAGAAGCTTCTTCAGTTCTGACTGGATGGTGGGGGATGGAAGGATGGATATTCCTTACGGTCATCTAGTACTTAGCCCTCTTTCTGAAAGTCATTGAGGCCTCTTGGAGATTCATCTGTGCCTTCAGTGTCACCTGAATAGTTCAGATGGGTGTGGAACCTTCTTGGAACTGCTGACTGTTGTAAACAACCACTTCACAAACGCATTGCACAACATAGAACAAACCCATCAGGACAAGATTCAGCACTCCAGCTGCATTTGAAAGACAATGGTCACTGTTCTGAAGACAGCAAAGTCCATATTCTAGACCAGGGGTAGGCAACCTTGGCTCTTTTATGACTCGTGGACTTCAACTCCCAGAATTCCTGAGCCAGCATGGCTCAGCTTAGAAACTCCCTTTCCCCTCAGCATGGCTGGCTCAGGAATTCTGGGAGTTGAAGTCCACGAATCATAAAAGAGCCAAGGTTGCCTACCCCTGTTCTAGACAGAGAGGACCCACTGATTTGAAAGAGGGGTCTACATTAACAGCCCTCTCTCAACAAAAGGGGAAGGGATATATTACCCATCTGTTTACCACTCAGTCCTTTCAGCCGTTCCAAGAAGGTTCCACCCCCTTTTCCATTATTCAGATGACCCAGACGGCACAGATAAACCTCCAAGTGGCCTCAACAACTAACAGAAAGGGGGCTAACAACCAGACCAGACTACAAGGAAGATAAAGCCTTCCATCATCCACCCTTCAATCAGAACTGAAGAAGCTTCTTGAATGAGAAGTGAAAGGAAAAACAAATTCCAGTTGCCTTCTGAAAATGCACTTTTGGGACTAGTTGGTTAAGTTTAGCTGTGGCAATAAACAGCAATAAACATTTGCACTTAACCAATAGTCCACAGATGAATAGTGAATTACAACCTAAAAACATAATTTCAACACTTGAAAAAAAAATCAATAGGTCTTCTTTAGTGTGACTCACCTCTTTTCCCACCAGATTATTTTTAACAGCATAAAAAGTACAGAAAAATTCCCTACCAATTCCCTACCAAAATTCCCTCAGCTTCTCATTTCAAAGTGACATAAGGAGAAGCTACTAATTGACTAGAAACATTCCTGTCCATTTTTTTTTAATTATTTTCAAGTTTTAACCATGGTTTGCTACAGTTTACTAAGCTGGCACTTTTCTGTAATAAATCTAAATTACAGGTTTTTTCATACAAAACTGTACTCTAGATGTATTTATTTATTTAGCGTATGGCATGTCATCTAGATGGTCGATTTTATCCATGTGTATGTGTGAAGGGGGGAGAAGGGGGAGAGAGATGGCCTGCATTCAGTGAACAAAGGGATGACATCTGCTTTAGCTGCAGATACTTTTCTGAAATTTGCTGAGCTGCAGTAATAGTTAATGCACAATCCCTGGGAAGAGATGCTGCTGTTTTAAGGTATAATTTTCAGAGATACTGCTGATCCAAATACCAGCAAGTCCTAAGAAGAACTTGACCTAAGAAGGCCCTAAAGTATCCAGAATAATTTTTCTCCACCTAATGCCTCTAGAAAAGCTACAAAACCCAGATTATACCACAAATACCTCCTAGACCAACAGGCTTTTTGTTATCTTCTGTTATCAGAGGATTGTGGAATTTACAGCCCAACATGCCTAGAGACATCCAAGCTGGATAAGGCTTTTCCTAGAACAGGGGTAGGCCACCTTGGCTCTTTTATGACTCGTGGACTTCAACTCCCAGAGTTCCTGAGCCAGCATGGCTCAGCTTGGAAACCTCTCCCTTTCTCCTCAGCATGGCTGGCTCAGGAATTCTGGGAGTTGAAGTCCACGAGTCATAAAAGAGCCAAGGTGGCCTACCCCGTCCTAGAACATTGATATTCAGCATCTAAATTGGTTACCTCAGTCAGAGAACATGCTCTTAGATTGCGGTTCTGCTACCAAATGTTAGGTGCAGCCTTCAATTTAGGAGTAGTTTTAAAGGCAAGATAAAATCAGCTAGTCATCAGCATTTTGAGGTGAATGATGTTCAAATGCAAATTTAAGCTTGTGTGATAAACGTCTGAGTGCCTTTCGCCTACCGGACAAGGCCAAGCCCTGAGCTGTATTTGCAGAGCACGGAGGGGAAGAAGGGCTCACTGACAGGATCTGTTCTTAGCAGGAGTTAGGAGAACTTGAGAGGCTAATCCTGAAAGGCTCAGCCAATGTGGCTCCCGTTTTCTGCGTGGAGACTACGGTGACCTTCAACCTTCTCCTCAGTAAGAAAAGTAGACCTACTGGGCAGTCCTAATACAAATCTCATGGTTTTCCTTCACAAACTATTTTTTGTTGACAATTGTTGACAATTCTGAAAGCCACATATATCAACACTTCTTGTCGACCTAGAACAAAGGGTTGGTAGAAAGGGGGAACCGCTGACTTTTTATCTTCTCTTTTTTTATGTTGTTGGGAGAAATTACCGCCTAATTAAAGTTAACTTTACATCTAACAAAATACCAAGTCCTCAAGACATTGTAGTAGATGTGCCTGGTACATATCAAGCCTCTTCTAATCGGTAATTCTGAAGCAAAAGTCAAAGTGATAGTAAAGATTTGTAAAAGCTGCTAAAGAAAGAATATGCTTATTGAATCTAAGTACAGGTCGTCCTTGACTTACGACTGGTCATTTAGCAGCTACCTGAAGTTAAGACGGACTACAATAAGGTACTTATAACCTGTATAACACACCCCCCCCAGCGTCATACAATCACATTTCAGGAATTCAACAACCAGACCACATTTATGGCCAGTTGCAGCGCCCCACAAAAATCAGTACAATTTACATTTTTGCCCAGTGAAAATGGCGATTGAAAACAATGGGTTTGCTTAATGACGGTGGCATTCATTTTACGACCCCCATGTTAACAACCACTGTAAAAAAAGATCAGTCACAGTCATTTGAGCCCCTTAATAAAGGGCACAATTTATGACTGTCTCAATTCTGGCTATAAGTCAAGAACCACTGATGGAACCAAAGCTTCCCTCAGGAGTTCAGGGTCTCCACTGTCCTCTCCCCAATGAACTCAACAGCTGGACCTTGGAGAAGGCAGCATCCAATCCAAACACAGAGGAGAATGAACCCCATCCCTTTTGCCACAGCCAGATCACTCAGTTAGGATGGTCAGCAAGGGCAGAAGACCAATCAGAACGGTTCAGCCTAAGTGTGGAGTGGATGCATCTGGTTTTCAGGATATACTTGAGGAACTCCCAACAATCTGGCAGGCAGCTCTGCCCTGCATCTCACATGGTCTGAAACATCTCTGGTGAGAACACAGTTCCCAGTGGCTTCTCTGGACTCCTGAGGGGTTCCAGAACACATAGGCAACAGAAAAGGCAATGGAGCGATGAGAGTGGGAAGACAAAAAGTGAACACAACTAATCAGAGGAAGGTGCCTGCACTCAGGACAGAACTGCGGCAATAAAACTGAAAGGGAAGCAGACTGTGGATCCACAGCTAGATCCACAGCTATCACTGATCAGCAAATGGGGGTCAGAAACAGACTTTTGCAACAGGCTACATGGATAGTCCTTGACTTAGAGCCATTCGTTGTGCAACTGTTCAAAATTACAACAGCACTGAAAAAACTGACTTAAACTTAATCTCATACCTGCAGTAGTTGCAGCATCCCCAGTCATGTGATAAAAATTTGGGTGCTTGGCAACTGGCATGTCCTCAACTTACAGACCTAACTGTGGCAAGAATTTCCATGGCTAAGCAAGGCAGTTGTTGTTAAGTGAGTCACATCTGATTTTATTACATTATTTTGCCTTGGTTGTTAAGCAGTTAAGTTAATGTAGACATTAAGGGAATTTGGTTTGCTCTACTGACTTTGTTTGTCAGGAGCTATTTGGGAAAGTTACAAACTGTGATCGCATGAACCCCCAGAAACAGCGAAACTGTCATACATACATGACAGTTGCCAAGCGTCGCCATTTTGATCATATGACCACAGGGATGGTGCACTGGCGGAACAGCCAAAAGCCACTTTTTTCAGTGACACTGTAAATCTGCACTAAATGAATGGTTATGTAAGTTGAGGGTCATGTAATCCCAATTTGCGATCTTCCTAGCCAAATTCTACAAATTCTACAAGCAAAATCAATGGGGGAAGTCAGATTCACTTAATGACTGCATGATTCACTTAACTGTAGTGATTTGTTTAACAACCATGGCAAAACAAAATGTCACAAAATTGGATGTAGCCCTCCCACTAACTGCCCTGCTCAGCAATGGAAATTCTTGTCCCAATTATGGCTGTTAAGTGTAGGACTATTTGTACTTGGGACCATCTTTAAAAATTGCATGGGCAGATAAATATGTCAAATGTAAAAATTAGCTGAACAAATAATTATGGCATGGTATCCTAGGACATATCTTTTGTTTTTCTACAGTTCTGCCGTGAATGATTAAAGCAGGCAAGCCCAACCCATGGCCTATAGGCCACATGCAGCCCTGGGCAGCTAGTAATGTGGTCCCACAAGATAATAAAAATATTTAAAAAAACAAAGAAGGTTGGTATTTATATACATTAACTGTCTTATATATTTTACATGCAGCCCAAGACAATTCCGTTTCATTCAATGCGGCCCAAAAGATTGGACAACGGTGGATTAAAGTAACGCAGCCCTCTGGGAAAATAGGAACACTATATGTCAGAGATCAAAATTAGCAAAACAATAGAAGGCTGAGGGAACTTGCCTGATTTTTATTACTGTAGTCACATTCTCTGACCACCACAAGTCCTCCTTTTTGACTGGGGTGGCTTTGCGCCACCAGACATTTATTAGTTTGAAGGTGATGCAACTGCAAGGAAAAGAAACACAAACATACTGAGAAGAGAACATACAATGTGAACAGAGTTCAAATTCTCAAACACCCTTCCTTAGATTCCTTTTATATTCTCTAAGAACAAAAGGGTGAGGAACTAACTACAAGGAAGGAGTAGGGATTTTTCAAAAATAAATTATCATCCAACATTTTCAGCTTTATTTCACTGTGATATATCACTGTGAAGTATGTGTATCGTTCTATCATTTATATTTGCCGCCGTCCTGCTGTGCCAAGAGTCAACTTGGTAAAAATTATACAAGATATGCAGGGATATATCTCCTTAAAAGCTATCCGACCACCTTATGTGGCTACAACTGCGTAACTTACACCATGAGAAACATTACTTCTAGAAGTGGAGACCGTGTAATTTGCGAGAAATATTACTACTGGGTGGCTTTAAAACTAACTCGCACAATGACATTTTAAAAAAAAATCAGTACTAGAAGCCAATTTCTATAGAAGGACTTTATAGTGAAAGTATAGTGGCCATAGTGCAGCACAGATAGGATTAAATTTAACACAACAACATAACAAATCATCAGTAGTATTAAGAAGGGAGATGGGATGAAATGGTTAATTATACGCAAGCTACACAATCCCAAAGGATTGTTTGGATGCAGGGATGGATAATCAGCAGCACACAGACATCTGTTGACAAAAAAAAGTACAAACATATATGGGGACTTGATATAAACATCCATTTTTTATAGGGTTAAGTACCCAAAACTGATTCTGATACAGTACAACTTGTTTACGAAAAAGTAAAACTAAAACTCCATTTTTATTATTTATCCAACTCTTGCATTCAGCATTTTCTTCCATCATTTCAAATATTGAAGTTAATCAACAGGTGGATTCCTTTTCTGAGGAACAACCTTACCTGATCTGAATCAACTTGTACCAGAGGTCCCCAACCTTTTGGGCACCAGGGACCGATACTATGGAGAAAGGTTTTTCCACGAACCGGGGAGTGCGTGGTTTTGTGTGTTGCCTGCATCCCACGGATGGGGCATTGCTTGTTTGTGCGGACCGGTTCCTGGCATGCCGCAGCCCGATACCGGTCCACGGACCGGGGGTTGGGGACCCCTGATATACTACAGGTAGTCCTCAGCTTACAACCATTTCTTTAGTGACCATTCAAAATTATGGCACTGAAAAAAGTGACTGAGAATCATTATAGCAACCCCGGCCACATGACTGGCATGTATTTATGACAGTTGCAGTGTCCCAGGGTCATGTGATCCATCTTTTGTGACCTGACAAGCAAAGTCAAATGGGAAGCCAGGCTCATTTAGCAACCGTGTTACGAACTCAACTGCATTTATTCACTTAATTGTGGCAAGAAGGATCGTAAAATAGGGCAAAACTCACTTAACAACAGAAATTTAGGGCTCAATTGTGGTCAAGGACTACCTGTATATGCTTAGAGATTTCTTCCTCAACAGCATGTCTGCTTTTCCACTTCAGTGTAGCAAGAACACAAAATGATTTAATGATGTCTTCTTAGCCTAAAACCATTTTAAAGACTTTGCTATGAGGCCAAAAAATTTCTTGCGCAATCTATGAAAACAGGAACTATTATACATCAAAATTTGATTTTTATGCTAAACATGAATTAGCCATCCAATTTAATTGATGAAGAGTAGATTCAAAACTAAAAAAAACACTGCTTTCAAAGTTCCTTGCTTTTCCAAAAACATAAGAAACTCAATTAGAGATAATCATGAGCAGTCAGAGGGAATTTGATTTCCTCCCCTTTTTTCCCTTTGTCCAGAAAAAAGGCCACTTTGATTCAAATTCAACCTAAATAGGGAAACAGAAAAAAACCCTTTGTGTTCCAACTCATCCATCAGCGAGAGGACTAAGGGATTCAACGCTCCATGCAGGATAAGAAGAGAGCCTTGTTAGCCAATGGTAGCCAAAAACTAAAGTCTGGTAGCGCTAACAAATTTTATTTATAATCAAGTGCTTGGTGGTTAAAATGTTTTTCCTATAATTCTGTCCTTCATTCAGATGTCAAACTTGTGTGCAGAATTCTCATTTACAGGTACAGTTACAATTACTCTGTGGAGATTGAGAACTGCAGAATTCACATGCACAAAAGATTTTCAGGCTATCTGAAAAGGTCTTAACCAACACTGTGGAGTCTGTAACATGTTAGTTACTAACTGATGGGGTACCTCTCACACATACAACCTGCTACCTCCCCAACCACTATTGCTTCATCCCAATATAAATCCTATTTCAGCTTAACCTTTTTATGCCTCTGATGAACAGAACCACGGTTCAAAAGAGCTTATGTCTTACAATAACACTTGCTAGTCTGAAAAAGGGCTACTCTTTTCTGTTTGCATAATTTTTGTTTGCTTGATTTCTATTAGCTGGTATTTAGAAAACACCTTTAGATTCTTTTACCTGAAAGACTTGGCACTTTAATAATATAGAATTCCCTATAACAGGGGTAGGCAACCTTGGCTCTTATGGACTTCAACTCCCAGAATTCCTGAGCCAGCATGGCTCAGCTTGAAAACCTCTCCCTTTCCCCTCAGCATGGCTGGCTCAGTCATAAAAGAGCCAAGGTTGCCTATCCCAGCCCTAAAAGATGACAGCCGTTAGCTTGACTGAATTAAAATGGATACTTAATAAGCTTAGGGAGGGCAGGCATAGGACTGCTGGGATAGCTGCATAAATACAACTATTGTATTTTGAAACTCTGCTTCTAAATATGAATGGATAGTAGACAAGAAAACAGGAAGGGCTGTAATTTTCAGAAATCCACCAATGGGCATTTTAAAAATAAGATGGAGGCTCCTGGACTTCATAATGTACTCTGCCTAGAATTTAGATTAAAAAGTCATCTCTTTTTAGAGCCCAGATGCTGCTAGAAATAAACCACTTTGATTTCTGTTGATTTCTACATAGCTCCTTTATATATATATAGGAGTAGCAGCTATCAGATTCAGAATAAAAGCTGAATGTGTACTTTTACACTGGAAAGTAGGGCAGTGGGCTGGTTACATCATCGACAGATTGATCCAAAAGGAAGAAAATGTTAGGCAAGCTCTTTGCCTCCTGAGACTGTATAGCCGTTGTTGATATGCCAGCTACGATGAAAGGAAATCACAGGGCACATGTGCTGTGAAAACCAGATTTTTTTTTAAAAAAAGATCACCATTGATTATTCAGTTACGATGTAGAGGGAGGGGTCTTCAAACGTGGCCCTTTTATGACTTGTGGGCTTCAACTCCCAGAATTCCTCAACCAACGTGCTTGGCTGAGGAATTCTGGGAGTTGAAGTCTACAAGCAGAGGTCTTCAAACTTGGCCCTTTTATGACTTGTGGACTTCAACTCCCAGAATTCCTCAGCCAGGAATTCTGGGAGTTGAAGTCCACAAGTCATAAAAGGGCCAAGTTTGAAGACCCCTGGTGTAAGGAAAAAGAGGAGGAAGAAGGAGTATTGTGAATATTTCCCCCCTTGAGTCATTTATAAAGGTGGGATAAAAATCAAATGAATAGATAAATGTCTTCTGTTATCAGTGTTTAATGGAGATTATTTTTAAAGGATTTTGTTACAACTTCTGTTAAACATGTGTCACATGACTGTGTTTAATCAATGAATCAAAAGTGTACATACTGTGTGTGTGTGTGTGTGTGTGTGTGTGTGTGTGTGTGTGTATTGTATAAGCAGAAGTTATAAGGAAGACCATAAGGAAGTCTTCATTATCTCCTTGGAAGAAAGTTGAGATCTAAATCAAATAAACACAAAAGAAAGTAAGTTATTAAAATAGATACATGGGCCTAATTTTAATGGAATAAGGTCAGAAAATTCTCTATGTCAGCAATATCATTGGGCTGATGTTACAGGTAGTCATCCACTTACGATTGGTCGCTTAGCAACCATTCAAAGTTATGACAGACCTACTAGGAGCTATTTACAATCTGGATTCAAAGCGTGCCTGGCTGAGGAATTCTGGGAGTTGAAGTCCACAAGTCACAAAAGGGCCAAGTTTGAAGACCCCTGATGTAGGGCTTCTCCCTTACCGTTTTTAGTACAAGCTATAGAAGACATTCAGAAAGATTAAATACTGTTTGCCCAAACAGAAACTAAATTACACAACAGACATCTTTATTCCAATTACTGTGGTGTATTACTTATTTCAGAGCTAAATTGCTGCACTGTACTAATATACTTCCTTTCCCTTCAAATATCACTTTAAAATGTCCACATTCCACATTTTTAAAAGCTTGGATTTAAGCAAATCTGAAGAACAGCATCTTACCCTTCCTTGTTGCAGTATTTTTGGTCTTTTCTGTCCTTTATTGAAAAAGATTGGAGGCTGTACCTTGGCATTGGGCCCAGAGATCTGCATCTCTGGATACACATTGTCTAAATACCATTTAAATGATTTGCAGTTTAATTTTTTTCTTAATTCCACACGGTCAGTAATATTTCCATAGTTCCTTGTTCGTAGCTCTGGACGTAAGGCAAAATATTGTTCCTGTTTGAAAAGGATTAAAAATTGCAAAGAGAGGAATTATTATTCCTGTTATGTGAAACTAAAGTCTAAGGACAGGTAGTCCTCGCTGAATGATGGTAATTGGGGACCGATAACTCTGTTGCTCAGCAAGTAGTTGTAAAGTTTGATGTCATGTGACCATGGCAACTTACGTCACAGTTCGGATTGTGGCTCTTAAGCGAATCCTGCATGGTCTCTGGTGTTACGTGCTTGCCCTTTGCAACCTCTTGTGGCTTTTCACTGACTTTATTTGTCAGAAGCCAGCAGTGAAGGTCAGAGGCTTATTGTGTGTGACTGCGGGACGCTGCAAATACTGCAAATACTTAGGGGACTGGAGGCTAAAGCATATAAGGAAAGGTTGATGGAATTGGGTATGTCTAGTTTAATGAAGAGAAGGACGAGGGGGGACATGATAGCAGTCTTCCAATATCTCAGGGGCTGCCATAAAGAAGAGGGAGTCAAGCTATTCTCCAAAGCGCCTGAAGGCAGGACAAGAAGCAACGGGTGGAAACTAATCAAGGAGAGAAGCAATCTAGAACTAAGGAGAAACTTCCTGACAGTTAGAACAATTAACAGTGGAACAACCTGCCTCCAGAAGCGGTGAATGCTCCAACACTGGAAGCCTTTAAGAAGAGACTGAACAGCCATTTGTCCGAAATGGTATAGGGTTTCCTGCCTGAGCAGGAGATTGGACTAGATTACCTCCAAGGTCCCTTCCAACTTTATTATTATTATTATTACTATAACGGCAAACCGATGGCCAAGCACCTGAGTCGTGATTCCATGATTGTGGGAAGGCTACAGGGGCCACAAATAAGAGGATCAGTTTTAAGTCTCCTCATTCAGCCCTGTTGTAATTTCAAACAGTTGCTGAATGAGTGATCATTAAATAAGGACTACCGGTTAACAATAGCATTAGTGGGGGGGGGAGGGGGATGTGGACGACCGACTTCTCTGAGCTATACATTCAAATTCTTCCCCAGCTAAAAATTACAAAATTAAGCTTTATTTTGTGTTTCCAACATTTATGCCTCTGTCCCCTTCCCATGTGACACGTGTCTAAATTTCCAGACACAGTCTAATAATCAAAAGCACAAATACCCTGGAAATGGAAGATACAACACTGCTTATTTCCTCCAACAGCATAACATCAGGAAGGTGGGGATTATTCCTGGGTCCTTCTTTTGCCACCTTCACAGGCACACTGAGGTATATTCCCCCCTTCATCACCCAGTAATATATAGTTGTGGCAGCCTTGCCTTGTATTCATCCATCCACACATGTGCGAGGCGTAGAGAATTGTGTGCCATTGTGTCCTGCCCGCCTGGAGACCCATAAGGGCGCCTTTTGCGAAAGATGTGCCCAACTCTGGAGCAAGGGATGATGAAAAGTTTGCCTCCACACATCCAAATCTGTTCAGAAATAAAAGGACTTAGTAAAATATTTTTATTGAAGACAGGTGATATTAGACACAAGACCCAGTTTCCAAAAAGGTCTGCTTATTTGCATAACTGTACACCTGGATCTTATTAATAGCTGAATGATCTCATTCAGGATGGCAACTGTCTTAAAAGCTTAATGTTCAACCCCATACTCCTCCTCCAATAACACAGAATGAAAGCAAGGAGTTTTTGAGCACCAGACAATCCCCGTGATCATGTGCTCAAAATTCGGACGCTTGGCAACTGGTTCATATTTATAATCATTGCTGTGTCCTGGGGTTATGTGATCATGACTTTTTGTAACCTTCTGACAAACGAAGTCAATGGGAAAGCCAGATTCACTTACCAACCGGGTTACTAACTTATCAAATGCAGTGATTCACTTGAGGCAAAAAAAGGTTGTAAAATGGGGCAAAAGTTGCTTAACAAACGTCTCACTTAACAACAGAAATCTTGGGCTGAATTGTGGTCAAAAGTCAAGGACTACTTGTATTGTTAAAGCCCTCTATGGCATGGGTCCAAGATGTCTGAAGAGTCGTCTTTCCCCAATAGGGTTAGTCTGCCCCACTCGTGCTGGCAGAAGGGCCCTACTGTGGACCCCATCAGCCAAGGAACATCTTAACACAGGGGGCAAGATCTGCCCCCCTCCCTCTCTTTTAGCCTTCAGGAAAAGCCTTAAAACCTGGTTATGCCAGCTGACATGGCGCCTTGCAAGACAAGCTGTTGGCTGGCACCACCGCCACCCTACGTCGTTCCCATGGTTTTCAGCTTCTTTTAAACTTTTGTAATTTTAATCTCTTTTTATATTTATAATTGTTTTTATATCTGTATGTTTTATTACATTGTAAACAGTTCAGAGATACCTCAAACCATCAGCTGGGTGGCATATAAATTTAATAAATACATAAATCCCACAATAAATTACCAAGAGGACAGGTGGATCTCTTTTTAGAGTAGCACGCTCTCCCAACATTTGCTTATTTCCCACAAATTGATTTTATTTAAGAATAGGCTTTATATAACAATTTTACAAATTATTTCTCAGCTTAATTTCACTGGGTAACATAATCCACAATATGTCTGGGAACACTGCAAGCAATCAAAGTTTTCTGAATTCATCATCCAATTGTTTTCACTCCACAAATATGTCAAATATCTAAATTTAAGCCATCTTTTTTGTTACAAAAACTCCCCAAACTATATGTCTCCTAGTTCTTTATAACCGTTATATATAACTGTTTTAAATATAAGATATATTTATATCTTATCTTATATGCAGTATATATAAAACAGATGGTAGCTAGCTAGATAACTATATAGCAAGATAGCAAGAGAGGGGGGGGGTTATCTCTTACAACAGTTCTTCCTGCTTTGAGCTAAATAATTTCAATTACTCTCACAATAATTTCATGCGTGCTAGATAAATTTTTTGCTATGTTGCAATGGATGCTTTATCTAAAGTAATCTCAGAGAAATTACTACTCTAGAATTACTCTTTACCTTTTTGGAGGGCATTTTTTTGGGAAGAGCTAATTTCATCTTGTCAGAATCCTTTCTATTTAAAACAAGCAAAATTCACATTGCTGTTGTCTTCAAAGCTGCAGAAAGTGACCACCCAACAATAATGTGCAAACACCTCCTGATTCTGAAGTGGCCTGAATCAATCTTCCAAGAACGAAAAAGAATGCCCACTAGCAAAACAAACATACCCGAAATGATATTTCCAGATTTTCCCCTCCCCAGATGTCCATGCCACTGTCATACTGTCCAAGCGCATTGAAATATTCTCTGTCCATCGCGAATAAGCCTCCTGCCATCGTGGGAGACCTAAGATGAAAACGAAATCTTTACCAAAGGCAAGCCCTGGCAGAAGTGGAAGTAAGAAAGGGGAAACACAGATCTACTAGAATTGGAAGGGAAGATATTTAAATCTAACCAAGTAGGAAAAGCAGCATTTTCCCATACTTTGCCCGCACTCCCAATTGGACCTGGACATTTAATGGCCCCTGGACATCCAGCCCTTTGGGCCTGTCCAGCCCATTTGAGATCAATAGGGAATTAAAAATGAAATGTAAATAAGCATGCTGCAGGGGACAGGAGAAGAAACCAAGTCGGGTCTGGCTCTGCGCAGCCACTGTGTGTGCTCCTTCAGATGGCCAACGGTCGTGGGAGGGCATGGAAAGACCCTTTCTGCCTCTGCACAGCACTTGCCCTTTGCCTGGAGCAGCCTGAGGAGGTAGCAGTGGTCATTTTATGAAGGGGTCAGGGCTCGGCCATCCAGTGCGACCTTAGTCAAGCACAGCTTTGCAGGTGAATGGACGGAGCGCAGCCAGGAGCCATTGATTTGGCCCTCTAAGACAGTCCTGGTTTCTCATATGGGAAAATCCCCCCCCCTTTCTAAATGCTACTTCTAGGATGGCAACAGAGAGCAAGGTCTTGTTGCCATATAAACCTAACAGACAAAATGAAAAGAGCAGTTGATTGTAATCAAATCAAGAGAGAACAAATTTTATAGCAACTATTATTTACTGAACAAGACTGTTCTTTAACACTTTAAGGGATTATTCCAGAGCTCTGGCTTCAACTCTTTAGTTAAACTGAAACAGTTTCCCTAGGAATGTACTATAAGTGAATATTAATAATGAATGTGTATTTATGAATAAATATTGAATGTACTGGCTTTGTCTTCCCTCCAGCCTCCATTTTAAAATTCCATGTAAGATTAAATGTCTCCAGTTTGGCATGACACGGTTACTATATTTTTAATGTAACCCCTTTGGTTGAAGGAAGCCCTAAAACCCCTTTTCAGGTTTTAAGTGAAGCCGTTCACCCCTTTAGAGGGTGGTGTTTGAAACTGGGATGTCTCACTTGATGGGAGCAGTGGCTTGTTCGGGTCCTTCCATCTCCGACAAAGGAACAAGATCCCACTTAAAGTGAAGGCCCCAGTTGAACCCTCCGCGGACAACGGGAGAAGAGCTGTACGTCAGGGTGTCTGCGCTGATGATATCAATCACGGGACAAACAACTGTCCTGCGGGATTCCTGGATGGGTGTCAGCAAGGGCTGCAACCACATCTCATTCACTTCACAATGGCTGTCCAGAAACACAAGCACTTTTCCTGAGAAAGTGAAAGCAGAAGAGACATAGGAGATACAGAATAACAAAGTTGGAAGGGACCTTGGAGGTCTTCTAATCCAATCTCACCCCCCAAGCAGGAGACCCTATACCAGGGGTAGGCAACATTGGCTGTTTTATGACTGGTGGACTTCAACTCCCAGAATTCCTGAGCCAGCATGGCTCAGCTTGGAAACCTCTCCCTTTCCCCTCAGCATGGCTGGCTCAGGAATTCTGGGAGTTGAAGTCCACGAGTCATAAAAGAGCCAAGGTTGCCTACCCCTGCCCTATACCATTCCAGACAAGTGGTTGTCCAGTCTCTTCTTTAAAAATTCCAGTGTTGAAGCACCCACAACTTCTGGAGGCAAGTCGTTCTGCTGGTTAATTGTTCTGATAGGGACTTCCTCCTTAGTTCTAGGTTAGTTCTCTCCTTGATGAGCTTCCATCCTTGCTTCTTGTTTGACAAGAGACAAGAAGACAAGAGACTAACCCGAAACTCACCCGAGAACACCATTATCTCAAGAATCTTCATTTACATTATGACATTTATAACCTGCACCTTTCAGCGTTAAGAGAAATTGAGAATTAACACGGAGAGTAATTGATAGGAAAAGAAACAGCGGGAGAGAAAAAAACCCTCAAAATTAATGGGAAGTTTAACTGGAAGGCACAGAGTGAAGTTGTTTTGTTTTTCAAGTTAGGTAGAAAAGCATACCCAAGAGATATTGTGGGCACGGTTCCAGAATACTGCAATAAAGCGAATTTGGGGTTTCCCAGTGCATATAAAAGTTATATTTATATTATACTATAGTCTATTGTGTGCAATATCATTATGTCTAAAATAAGGTAACATAGCTTAATTAAAAAAATACTTTATTGCTAAAAACTAAATCTGAGCTTCAGTAGTTATAATCTTTTTGCTGGTGGAGGGTCTTATAAAAAATGCATTATCAGGGAGTCCAATACAAGAAAGTGCAATAAAACAAGGTATGCCTGTGTTTCTATATATTTTACTTTTTGTGGGAATTATTAGGTCCAAACTGAACTAACATCATTGCTGTGATTTCGACATATTTAAATGACGGCCACAGTGCCCCAGGGTCATGGGATCCCCTTTTGTGACCTTCTGACAAGCCAAGTCAATGGGGACACCAGATTCACTTAAGAACAATGCTGCTGACGTAACAACTGCAGTGATTCACTTAACAACTGTGGCAAGAAAGGTCATAATATGGGGCAAAAATCTTTTATGTGTTTCAATTAGCCACAGACATTTTGGGCTCAGTTGTGGTTGTAAATCAAGGGCTACCTGTACGATATTTCTACAGGTTTATGTAAACAAGCATCAGTCAATTTACTGCACTGATAAACCTCACTATTCCCAGTAATTCAATTTAGGAAGGGCTGAAATACACACCACAAGGATATAACATGACTACTTAAAGCCACAAGGTTGGTGCATTGTCTGCATTAGTGCTGGATGTTACCTGTAGCATGAGAAGCTCCAACCATTCTCCCTCGAATTAGCCCTTCGCGATTTTCATTTCTTACTAGTTTCACCTTATTTGGAAGATCTTTTGTTAAATATATGTCCAAGTCTTCTTTTAAATCAGCTACAATAGGAGAAGGAAAGATTTAAAAAATGTTTTACAGTCATTCTAAACCTTTCCAGCTACTTCTCACATTTCTTCTATTTTAAAAGGCTGGCAAAACAAACTTGAAACGAAACCCAACAGCTGTGGCAATTGTTAAGTGTTCTTCCTTGTGGAAGGAAATGGGATAGCCAACTAATCCTAGTGACACGTCTCTTCTCTAATAAAGACTGGAATTTAGAAAGGTATGTCGGTATCCAGGGCATAATTAGAAATGCAAGGGAACAGAGAATCAATCAGACTACCATTTAATGGACAGAATTCCATTTCTGGAAGCAGCTTGTGTCACCCATGCTGTGTGTTTCCTTAAGGCCTTCTCTGCAAAAGAATTTCCTAGTATAGGGTGGCGTGCAAAACATTTGAGACATTTTGCACTTGAAAAGCTGTGTCGAGTTTGAAATGCTCTGTTCATAATGGAGCAGCTGCCCTGAACGTTCCACAAGTGTTTTGAACTTAAAATGCTTCTGTTGTGTGTTCAATACACCTGTTTCAAAGAGATCTACTGGGCTCAAAATACTTCCATAATAGCTGGAACCCTGTCAAAATATTTCCAATAATGCTGGAACAACCTGTTTCAAATACCAAATCACTGCTCAAAATTTGAAATACTTAATAGTATTGTTCTCATGGTACTTATTCCAGAGAGCTGAGATTCAGGCAATAAAGCCTACAGCAGAATCATATTTTAATCCAATTGGTCCTAAAGCTGAATTGGCAATCTTCTTGTGCATAGAGGTCATGCCATATATACCAAGAATGGTGAAGCCATCATCAAAATGACTATTTAAGGAGGTAGATAGCCCTCTGTTTTGTGGGTTGGGAAAATATATTTCTTTTTGGGAGCACACTCAGATGATGTGGGCCACAGACCAAAAATCCCTACTCCAGAGCGACACAAAAATCTAAGAATCTCTTACCTAATTCACTTCTATCGTCCACTAAAATAATTTCATGGAGAAGATGTGATGGTGTTCGATCCAGAACACTGTGAACGGTTCGAAGCAAGGCAGAGAAAGCTTCATTATAGAAGCAAATTATAATACTAGCAGAGGGCAGGTCATGAGGATATATTTTTTCTTTACACCTGGAGAAGGAAAAAGGCCTATATTATCGTATTATTTTCACTTCACTTTCCCTATCCGCCATAAAGTCATTTGGCTCTTGGAACAAAATGTTTAATTTTTGATGAATCTAGGACAGCTTACTTTCTGTCCCTCGTATCTGGCACGTCTCTGTGATATCCCAATCGGTTGCTGATGAGCACATTGAAAGCATGCTTCTGATAGCCCAAATCTCTCACTTCCTGATCCTGTTCATTGAAAATCATACCTGAAACAGAGGAGCCACTGATTCTGTTAATATACTGCCAATAATCATTTTCTAAAATATCCCCTTAATCTCAAAAATCCCACTAAGGATGTTTCCCAAAACAAGCTACTCTTCCTACAATGGTTTTGGTAATCTGTCTTGAAACTCAAGAAAATCGGCAGGTAAAATATATAAACACACAGAGGTCATCATAAATTCCTAGCATGATCAATCAATCATGCTATAATATCTGTAACAACATTATGATATTGTAGCTCTATTTTTCACTCTTTGCATTAAAAGCCGTAATGTGTCTGTCTCTAATTGGGTCTGGCTAAATACAAAGTGTGAACCCTACCACTGAGGCTTATATATCATTGGACTGATTGATTGATTGATTGATTGATTGCCCACCTTACTTTTACAAATGACTCGTGGCTGCAAACATATCCAACACACTTTCCTCCTCCTATTGTCCTCACAACAACAACCCTATGAGGTGAGTTAAGTGAGAAAGAGGGACTGGCCCAAGGTCACCCAACTGGCTTTCATGGCTATGGCAAAACCTGAACTCACCGTCTCTTGCTTTATAGCCTGGTGCCTTAATTACTAGATCAAACTGGCTCTCGTGCCAGTGTGTTAAAATGGCTGCTAATTCACCAAATTAGCTTTAAACCAAATTCTTCCTCTTGCAATATCTGAATCCATAGGGACCATTTAGGCCAGGCATGTCAAACACAAGGCCCGGGGGCTGGATGCGGCCCGCAAAGTGGTTTCATGTGGCCCACAAAGCCATCCTGGAAACAGTGAGGGAACGGCCCCCGCTGCCTTGGCCCTGGCCCAGGCCAGCCAGTAGCCAATGTACAATTTTGTGGTGGCCATCTATGCTGAAAGGCATTCAGTCTTAGCTCTATAAGCACTCCCCCCCACATGGCCTGAGAGGAACAGTGAGGCTCCTCCAGTGGACCATGCCTTGGCACTTGCCCCGGTCCCACCCCCTTCTGCCAGAGACCCTCAGATCTGTCCCATTCTTGCCCAGGCCCCCACAGACACCCTTAACGCGAACAATGTAGAGCTGGCCATACCGACCCAGTAGGCCACACCCACCCAGTAGGCCGCACCCACCCTGGCCACACCCACCCGGCTCCTGAGGGCAACCGCAATGCTGATGCGGCCCTCAATGAAATTGAGTTTGACACCCCTGATTTAGGCAGTCAACATCTCTCCAATGGCCTCTGACCTGCTCTGTCAGGCTTTCAGACTATTCAAAAATCCACTGCCCGGCCTTCCCCCATATGGAAATAACAGGTAGTTATTTAGCGTTCTATCCCTCCAACGTACCCATTTCAGGGGAAAACTCTGTATCGCTCTTGAGGAGATCCTGAGCAGCATTTCCCAACGGATTCCTGATCTTGCCATATCTGGGCTTAGATTCCTGTATTTGTCCTGGTCCATTCACAAGCTGGGGATGGAATCTTCTGGAGAGGGGCTTCTGGGGTTCAAGCCCCTTGATGGGCACATTTTTAAAAGACTGGGTCTCTTCGCTGAAATTAAAATAAACAAACAGCAGAACTGTCCAGGTTACGGACGTAAAGAGACAGCCATAGCAAAAATAGCGAAGTGTGACACTTCCCATTGTAATCCTAGCATTGTGGTTGGCACATTTTCAATCCCCTAGAAGAAAATCGAAAGGAACAAAAAGTAAATACAGAGATTCTTTACTATTGTATATTAACAGTTGGCCTTTCTGAGACAATTCCAGATTAATTTTACATTATAATTACCTCAAAGAGAGGTTGCATTTTCTTTTTATATAAATGTAACCAAAAAAAACCCCAGCAGCAAACATTGTAAATTATATAATATCTTTAAAATCCATAACACTAATATGGCATTAAGGGAGGCATTTAATATGATTTAGAGTTAAGTAGAATTCTATAAAGATTACATTTTCAATTTATCAAGTATGTAAATATCTCCATTTGGTCTCATAGACTCATGTTTCCCTGCAAAATGCAGGATGTAAATTAAAAGATTAGGAATTCTCATATTTTATCAAAAGCTCTCATCTAATTTTTTCCCCCATTTTTCAACTCCAAGACTGTGCTGGACTATAACTCGCCGTATTTTTAAATGATTGATTACTGGAAGTTTAATTTGTAATATATTAAAAACCAATATAACTAGAAGGTTTAAAGATTTACTGCTTGAAGTATTTGTCACTTAGGTCAAGTAACAACTAATTTTTAACAGAAAAGATATTTTTTAGCAAAAGCTTAAAACCAGCAATGTTAGTTCTATCTCAATTCACCTATCTTTTCCTTTTTAAAAACCTGAGATACACATAGTATGTATTATGAGATTCTAATATAGGAATAAGTCCTCAAAATACAGTAGGAGAATACTGCAGGTGGGGAAAAGGGGTCTCAAAAATCAGATTAAACTTGGGTGAAATCTATATAATCTATAGCAGTGGTGGCGAACCTATGGCACAGGTGCCAGAGGTGGCACTCAGAGCCCGCTCTGTGGCACGCGTGCCGTCGCCCCAGTCCTAGGCCTTCAGCTGGATTTTATAAAACCTTTTCGCTTTAGGCCTCCGCCGCCGTGTGCAAAAAAAAAAGGTTCAATCAATCAGTCAATTTCAACTTCTCGCGGGAAAAAAAAGATCTTGCAAAGTTGGGATTGATTGATTGAACTTTTTAGTCCCACCCAGTCTGCTGTTACCACTGCAGCCACACCCACCCAATGGGTCATGCCCACCCAATGGGCCACACCCACCCAATGGGCCACACCCACCCGGCACCCAACGATGCATAAGTGGGTTTTGGGTTGCAGTTTGGGCACTTGGTCTCTAAAAGGTTCGCCATCACTGATCTATAGAGTAGTTAAAACTGCAAGCAAGATTTTTCTAAACTCTTGACATAATTTGTATTCAATGTCCTCTTTCTTACCGGTTTATAGATCTCTACTAACATTAGCAATTATATACATGTGAGTTATTCTTTTGAAATTCACAATACTTTCTCTCTCAAACTCAAAGCACACAATCAGTATTCATTTTACATTAAAAGTTTCTATAACTAGTCCTGCATCAAATACAACAAACCCACAGGGGGAATATTTAAATACACAAAAATAGCCTCTTTGAATCAATCATATGACCCAGTTCTTGAATAATACCTTTGCCTATATAAAATCCTTGAATACTTCAAAGATTATTATGTATTTTCCTAATCTTAAATATCTGTGATTCATGTAAGATGAACTCAATGATCTTGTAACATAGGACAGGGAGAAGAGAACTTATGAAGCATTTCTCTGCAGGACCTGGAAAATTCTAAAAAATATTGGAAAAAATACTTCTGAGCTGGTATAACTCTTCACTCCTATTCACTGAAGCACCAATCTTTTATTCAGCTTTCCATGTTAGTCTTTAAAAATGTAGCTCTTTAAAGTTTCAAAAATTAATGCAACTCCTAAATCAAAGTCAATGGGGAAATCATAATCAGTCACATGATGTTGTGCCTAATAACTATGGATGTGTCACTTAATAAGTGCAGCTGGAACCAATGTAGTAATCTGGTGCTGACACAAGACAGTTCATGTGTTGTTTAACACAGGTAGTCTTCACGCACCACAGTGGGCTACAATTCTGTTACTAAACTTTTGCAGGTAGTCTTCAACTTTTATAACCACAATAGAGATCAGAATTTCCATTGCTACGCAGGGCAGTTCTTAAGTCAGTCACATCCAATTTTACAATGCAGTCAAGCACCACCTGTTTATGTTCTGGAGTATTTCTTCCAAATCAATTTTAAAATGTGCACAACTATATTTGTGGTGCCCCACTGTTCTAAAACTTTACCAGACAATCTCTGTGTGAGAAGGCATAAACTTTAATATTGTTTGGAGCGAGCTAGAAAAGTCATTTACAGCAGAGTAATAATCAACTAATGGATGGTGAAATTTCTCAAAATTGTAAGAATCTCCATTTAATCTGATCCATAAAAAAGGCTTATATTATTCCTTCATGCAGAAGAAACCTTGATTATCTGCATGCAAAATCCTTAGTTGCAGAGGAAGTACCTGGACCATTTGACTTATTAAGAACTCTGAGCATGAGCAAATCCAAATTCCCAACGAGGTCCCATATTTTCAAAATGCTATGTAGGTAGGTTTCTTCTCTCACATATCTTAATCTTACCCCTCTTTTATAAACAAGATGCCTCATTGTTCTCATTCCTAAAATCTATTTAGGAATCACAAATCATTCTTTATTTTTTATGATAGATAGATTAGATAGATAGATAGATAGATAGATAGATAGATAGATAGATAGATAGATAGATAGATAGATAGATGATAGATAGATAGATAGATAGATAGATAGATAGATAGATAGATAGATAGATAGATAGATAGATAGATAGATAGATAGATAGATAGATAGATAGATAGATAGATAGATAGATAGATAGATAGATAGATAGATAGATAGATAGATAGATCTGGGCCCAGCTGCATTTGGTAGCTCTTCCATCGGCTCCAGCCTCCCTGGAGGAACAAACCAGTCAATATCATGTTGCCATGTTTGTCATGTTGAGGGACTGTTACAAAGATGAGGAAGTAAAACTATTTTACGAAGCACAAGAAGGTAGGACAAGAAACAATGGATGGAAACTATTCAAGGAGAGAAACAACCTAGAACTAAGGAGGAATTTCCTGACAGTGAGAACAATCAACCAGTGGAACAGCTTGCCTTCAGAGATTGTGGGTGCTCCATCACTGGAGCTTCCAAGAAGAGACTGGACAGCCACTTGTCTGAAATGGTATTAAGGTCTGCTCGAGCAGAGAGTTGGACTAGATCAGTGGTGGCGAACCTATGGCACGCGTGCCAGAGGCAGCACTCAGAGTCCTCTCTGTGAGCACAGGAGCCGTGCCCCAGAGATGGCAACTGTCCCTCTTCAACCAGCCGCCCGCTAACTCGCTGAAGTCCCACGTGGCTGGATGCATCCCAGCACCCATGTGCTCACTGTCCTCTGTGTGTGGGGGCCGATGATGTCAGGCAGCAGCCGCCCTGGCCCCTGCCTCGCCTTGCCCTGTGACAATGGCACCCCTGCCCTGCCTCACCTCACCCCGCAGGACGAGCTTCCTGCCCACTGCCCCACCCGCCAGAGACGCCCTGGATCTCCCCCAACCCTGCCTGGCCCCCACAGGCGTCCCTTCTCAGGAGCAACATTGAGCTGGCCATGCCCACCCATCTGCCATGACCACCGTAGCCATACCCCGCAGGCCACACCCAGCAGGCCACGCCCACCCAGCACCTGGCGATACATAAGTGGGTTTTGGGTTGCAGTTTGGGCACTCAGTCTCTAAAAGGTTCGCCATCACTGGACTAGGTGACCTCCAAGATCCCCTTCCAACACTGTTATTCTATGCTATTCTAATGTCAGGCCACAAAAGGAGATGAAGGTGATCTAATGCAGCTTTGTCATTCTCTAAGTGAACTTCACACAGGAAAAAAAGGTCACTGCTCAGACAGAATGTGGAAATTACTAAAGCACAGAAACCACAGGAGGCAGCAAAGCTTTCTGCCCCTAGGGAAAAAAAAAATCCTGTGGGATATTTAACTCCTGCCCTCCTCTAATCTTTGAAGTGACAATCAGCCTAAAAGAAACTCACATAGCTTGGGCATTTGATATACTGTATAGTTTGCCAATTTTGCTTGGCATTTTTGAAGGAAACAGCACCAGGGGACGACAATAGATTGGATGGATGGATGGATGGAATCAGGAAGCTCACTAGTATACACTTGGAAAAGTTACAGATTTTGTTCTGAAGTTGGGTCCCAATATCAGATATCTTCCCACACAATCACCAGAAGTCAACCCAACTCAGCAGCATTTTAAGCAGCTGACCCTTTAGCACCTTAGATTCTTAGTTTAGCTGCCAACATTTCTCAGTAAGTCTTTTTAATCAAAATCTCAAATAAATAGCTAAGCTGTTCCTACTCTACTCAAACCATATTCATACATATATTTATTAACCAGTCCCTGCTGGGTCATTGTTTCAGAGGAATTTTCTTACCTAAACAAAAGCACAGAATAACCACTAACAGGGGGGAAAAAGCAGGAGTAATTTCCAGCTTCTCCATTGACTTTCCTTATGGGAAGCTAGCAGAGAGCGTTGGAAGCAGCAGCACTCAAGTGGCCATAACTTCACCAAATTTTAATCCCACGGGAATAATGGATAATGATAATAATGGATTCCAAAGTTCGGATGAATTCTGTAAGTTGTTAGCCCATTTCAGATACACTGATTCTCACCCAATTGAAGATTACAAACAGGACTACAAGGAGTGTTTTAGTATATATATGACTTGTATTTAACACGCATTTCCTTTGTGGAACCTAACCATTCCATATTCTTTTTATTTGTAATCTCCACAACAGAAATAATTTGAATTGATTTGCTATTCCTCAAATAACATTTAAGCATTAATTCTTGTGTACTTCATGGAAGACTGCAAAAAAATTACTGTATGATAAAACCACCAAGAGTAGTTTATTGATAATATCAGCACATTCTTTAGTGTATGTATGTACCTAAGAACATGAGTTTCGAGTTTATATTCCCATGAAGACATGTGAATCTACCAGCTTGTATT